TCAGACGTGGGCACACATCCTCAACTCCTGCCCCCGATACCGCCGCTCCCGCGCAGACTTCCTCGAGTTCCTCAAGAACTCCAGCCACCCAGGCAAGGAGCTCCTCGGCTTCCTGAAGGACAATCCGTCTGCCTATACTTTTACCGACGCCCCTCCCATGCCCGAGTAACTTAGTCTCCCACTCCCCCCCCGGGCTTCGCATAGATGCTCCTCATCACGGGCGCTTGCGCCTCCCAGCCCAGCAGCTTTAGAAGCCGCCGTTAGCATACACGCTCCGTAGATTCCTTAGTTGTAGTGGCCCTGGCCTCGCGCTGTCACTCTAATCCCTGTGTAATAACGGGCCCCTGGTCCGACGATGCATTTGATTCCTCAACTGTCCATCAAGCTGTCCCTGGTCTGGGTCAGCTACTTGTCAAGGATGGGTCCCGGGCAACCATAGGGTATAAATTCTCAGCGCACCATAACATTCTGTGGGAGCTAATTCGCTCTTTCACAGCGTGATTCCAGTGCACGGCTTCTGGGTTGCAGATTATGGCACCTCACAGCAGTACTACACGCAATACCACAGTGCACGCAGCCAAAGTAAACACGAGGATCTCTGCTCGAGTCGGATGCTCCAGCTAACACGTGAGATCAAAATGTGTAGATGCCAAATGGGATGTCTTCAGAGTAGGCTTTGACAATCCCAAGGACAATCCCCTTGGCTCTAGGGAACTCGTCAATAGGTTCTTCCACGGTGCTTTTGACGGGCTTCGAGAGTTATTCAAGTGGGAGGAACTGGTTTGCACCGCCTAGGGAAGGTGGCATCGGTAAGTATACAGAACGACCTATTATTATAATGGACGGATCCAGTTCTGTCGATCGGCTCGATATGATGTTGTTTTTAAGAAAGCGACATTAACGCATGGCATCATCTCCGGTGATCCAGTTGGCAAAGTTGCCGGATTAGACCGCTTTGAAGTCAAATATGATGGGCACTGCGGCAAAGCTGCCGACGCCACGCCGCGGCACGTTGTCGACCACCGGACGTGCCTTCAAGTTAGTACCCTGACCTGCCCGTTGCTGTCGCTAAGATCACAGACGAACCGGTCCAGGTCATATTCGGCGTGATTTCCGAGGCTAACTCTCAAAAGGCATGCTGGGGAAGCTAAGTTATCCCAAGCCTGAGTTTGCTCGTAACCGGTGAGTACTAGTCCTTGCGGCCTCAGGCTGGCGGTCACTTGGTGCGACGCGACTTTTCTTCTAACGTCAGTGAGGCGTACAGCTTACTACAGTCCCGCCGAGACGCGACTTCTAAACGCGACTCCCATCGTTCCCCGTATAGGTGGCTCCCCGTCCATCCCGCCGAACGCCACCTACTATTCGCGTATGCTATAAAGCGTCATAAGGTCGAGGGGGAGAAATTGCGTACAAACACGCCTATGTGAGCAATTCTCTTCAGCCACGCGACCACGATAGATTACTGCCAGGATCCGTCTGACGTGCGGGCCTGCCGTTGACGTGCACCATAGTCAACTTTCTCGTTTCACTTTTCTCTACACCGACGTGAAGAGTAGTAACACCCGTTCGCTTTCCATAGTCGGTTTGCTACCGCGGAGTTCCGAGGGTCTTGTGTCGCGCTTAGCACGCTAGTGTTGCATACATCTTGACACGTATTTGCCAATCCTCTTCTCACTTCACCATTACTGAGAAGAGCTGGCTAGTTCTATCAAAGCACGATGTCAGCGCCTACCCCGTATCTGGACGCGGTCTTGTCCTCTTTGCCACTCGGTGCTCGGGAAGCCTGTATTACCTCTCTTTCCAATTCACTCCTGCGCCCTCTCATGGAGCTGCTCGTGCGCCTTGCAGTGGATACCCCGGAGGTTTATGGCGTGAAGACTATATCGTCTCTTGCCGACCCCACCGCGGACGAATACATGGCCATGCGCACGATCGCACAGGCCGAACTTCGTCGCCTGCACAACAAACGCAAACGCTCCGCTTCACCTCCTCCAGACCCTGCCAAGCGCACGCGCACCACGCACCCTCCAAACCCGGCGCCCGTTGACGTAGATGACACGCCCATTTACACACTGCACGCCCTCTCTGTGTCTTCGCCCGTGCGTAAGAAGCTTGACATCACCATTCACACGAAGACCCTCCGCATCGGCAACCTTTCCTTCCCCCTCAGATCGCTCAACCGCGCTTTTCTTCTGCCTACTCGCGGCAAAGCGAAGCCACATTGGACCATCGTACTCCTCTCGTCGGACGTGCCTGCACGTCCCACTAAGGGCGCCACTCCTTCCATAAGCAGTGATTTTCAGGTCATCTTCGGTGTCGACGCTGAACCCAGCACTGCCGTGACCACAACCACGCACCCTGCACCAGCCCAGATACACACAAAAGGCACACCAGCACGCCCACACCTCCTCCAGTTTCTGCGTCGGCTCCCCGTTCCCGTCTTCGAGCCGTCCGCCGACGTATTCTCCCCCGTCGCGTCGGGCGGGAGCCTCGGCCTCGCGGCATACCAAGGCGCGAAAGAGGGAACACTTTGGTTCATGCCTTCAGGTGTGCTCGGTGAGCACAAACCCGTCGAGTTCTGGCCGCTGGAGGACCTTGATACGCCGGAAGGCGACTTCGAGGCCGTCCGACTACAGAGTGCCACGGGACGTACATGCTCGGTATTCGTTCGCCGTCGACCAGAGGGCAATAGTGAATGTGAAGAAGGCGAGGAAACCGAGTTCGCAATGATAGATGGGCGTGAGCAGGACGGCATTCGTGCATGGGTGCGGCGCTATCGCAACGCTTTCGGAAAAGGCGAAGCTACGGTGAATGATAGCGTCGTGGACAAGGGCAAAGCTAAGGCGGTTGATCAGGGCTCGAAAGCAGACGTGGAACATGTAGCCATCGATGAGGGTGACTCAGATTCGGATTCAAACTTCGAGGTCTCAAGCGGAGAGTACGACGGCGGATCGCCGACATCAAGTTCGAGTGAAGACGAAGATAGCGAGGACACCAGGGAGGACGATGCCTCAGGATCGGATGCAAACGATGAAGCCAACGGTGGCGGTCAAGATGCAGGAGACTCGGATGACGATAATGAACCGCTGGAGCCAGCTCGAAGTCTGCTCTTGCGCCCCGGCACCGTGCCGAAGATGTCTGGTGCGGTGATGGACATGGCGGTCGGTATGATGATGGGCGATCTCATGAGCCGTCCCACTGCAGAGGATGGAGATGAGGAGGATGAACTTGTGGACTGAACTGATTAAAGTGACGTACGATGGCTTGCGGTCGAGATATGCATCCTACCCGGTGTTTTCGCTCGCTCCCCGATATCAACCAATGATACATGTAATATCTGATATAGGCGAAAACGAAGATACCTACATGCAGCGAAAGAGAGGAAGGCGACAATGGAAGCCCGGCGACGAGCGGAATGCCTCTGCACGAGGCCTTCACAGATACAGTATACACCGCCACAAGTATTATGCAAAATGGATGCCGTTGTCATGAAAAGTAGATAGTAACCTGAAGCGACGGATTTGGTAAAAGTCCCGGTGCTTGGTAGACTACGTACCGAAGAAAGTCGTTCAAGTCCATCTTCGCTGGGCGGCTCTCAGTCACACCCAACTCATCCAAGATACCCTTGACTTTTGCTTTCATATTGAATCCATCTTCTACCATCTGCAAGCGAATATGAATGATTTGCATACGCCCGAGGAAAGGGCGCTCTACATACCCTCTCCTGCTCCGCACACCAGGTTTTGTAGTTCTGCTCGAGCATCTCGAACACGCCCTTCGCCTGGAAATTGGCATGCACCGTCTTATTGCGCCGTGTGAAAAGGATCCGCGTAAGACCATCAAACTCCTCAAACCGCACAGGCGGGGGCGGGTCTATCGGTACGATGCGTACGACGGAGCTCTCCACATCAGGGGGTGGTCGGAAGTTGTTCTTTCCCACATTCATGATGTGATCGACTTTTGCGTATAACTGGACATTCGCGGATAGTCGCGACCATGATGAAGAGCCAGGCTGCGCGGTTAACCGGAGGGCGAACTCGCGCTGAAACATGAGAATGGCAACACGGAAAAGTGGCCGATGCGAGAGCAGTCGGAACACGAGCGGGGAAGAGATCTGATAAGGAGTGTTGGATATGCAGACGTCAAAGTAAGGCAGGGTAGCCTTGACGAAGTCTCCGATAATGATTTCAAGCTTTCTCTGCTCCGCTCTGCGTAAAGGACTGTCAGGGATATCGTGACGTATGACATGATTCAACGGCGTACTTTCCCTGCACACGTTTCGTGAGTTCTGCAGCCATCCGTGGATCCATCTCTACGGCTGTACAGTTCTTCGCTTTCTCTAGAATCCTTACAGTGAGATTCCCTGTACCCGGACCGACTTCGAGGACCTTGTCTGTCGGCCGCAAATTGGCCTATGTCGTTGACATTTTAGATCAAAAAGACTTTCCTAGCTAGGATGGTGGTACCTTGTCGACGATGCTAGTCATAAGCTACAGATTTGTGTAATGGAAAAGGAAGTGCAGGCGTACTCTTGTGCTATTGACGGATTTTTGAGAATATGCTGCCCATAGCGCTCAGTATTAAAAATAGGATTTCTTGTGTTGGACGAAGACAAGGCTTCCGTTTTCTGGTTCTTCGGCTTCGCGTACGGGTGGTGAGCTCTTGTGAAATGGTTTGATGTCGCGCGCGGCATGACGATTGAAGAACAAACTGAACGTCTCTGCTTATGCTCAACTAGAAGATCACTTCGACGTTGGCACAGCCACAGTCGATTCGCACACTCGCTTGCAAAGGTAAATTGGTGACACGTGAGTTGTGTCCACGTGCCCGACCCCCCGCTATCAAGAAAACGCATGGTTTTTGAACTTGAAGTACGTTCCTAAAAAG